CGCGCGTGCGCTTTATTGTATGTGTGTATTTATATATGTGTATAATACATCTAAAAAACAACACACACACACACACACACACACACAATTATATATACTTATTCTTTGAATCATAAAACAATGATATTGTTCGAGATTTTTGTAAGTATTATAATTGTTTAATAAATAAGATAATACTCTAAATTGCCTTGAAATTCTTAATACTTAATTGTAAATGAATATTTCAGTTATTAAAAACGTCGGCGGGCTATGTATCCGTATTACTTGCCAGACAAGATTAACACGTAAATTACGTAGTTGTTGATTTAATATAAATCATCAAGATATGAAGTTAAGAATAAATTGTTTATAACTACATATATTGTGCTATATTTATGTATTTATGCTTTATCAAAATATATAAAGACATCATTTTTATAAATCAAGCTTCTTTAAAATTGCATTCTAATTATGTCTCGATGTCAATCTTTATATCAATTATTGATTACATGGACAAGAGGATAATGAGATAAACCAAAAAACTTAGAAACAGCATTATAAGATAGTATTTATGCAAATCTATATTTTTTTACGACAATAACTATTTTTCTATTTTATCTTCGTGTTTTTAAAGCAATAAATCTTCAATGTATTATCTAGGATTCGTTGTCTTTTTTGTTTCATCTTTCAATTTTATATTTTCCAATAACAACATAATCTTCGACAGGAGTTCTTTTGGTAGTCACGTGTGTGTAGCACCCATTTTCCATTTATTCTTATATCTTAAGTTATAGGCAATAATGGTGATATGATCAAATGAAGAGATTTGATAATGTCTCCATGCTAGCATTCTCATCTGTAGACTATCTTTAGAATAAGCACTCGGACTCGTTCTAGTAACATTCTAATCGTGGGCTTTAATGTTCTAGATCCACCAGAATTCACCAGAATTCACCAGAATTCACCATTACAGCACACAATAGATTTGAAGGAGTACTGTTGTGTATAATCAATAAATTTTCCCTAGTCATAAACGTCTATCCAAAAATCCTAATGTACAAAAATGTAAGTTTTTTTGCATTGCTGATCTTGCTTTTAGAGCAGTTTCTTATCGAGGATGATTCACATTAGAGGAGATTCACTTTTAAAATACTTTTCCGACGGATCAGGCAATAACCTGACTTCTCAAAGAATAGTGATTCCTCTATAGAGTCCATCTTATATTTATGAGTGAAAATCACGAGATGCATCTTTAGCAAATTTACTGACCAAATTGGCCTCCCAATATCATTCTCCAATTACCTCTTCTAAAGATTCTTTACATATGCTCTAAAATGTTTCTAGAAAGAAATTTCTTATAAGAATTGCTAAGTCATCAGCATGTCTTACTATATAGAATTTTCTATTATTAAACTTCTTTAATAGCCTATTAGTCTAGCTATCAGACATCAAAGAAGAGAATCTCCTTTAACGGGCAACTCCTTTCCATCCAAACTTACTCACCAATACCAATACTCACTGTTTCTAATGATGTTATAATTTAACGTCGTCCTAGCTTTCCCAACATCTACAAACTTCATTAATATGTCGCCTCGCCGCCTCTAGACAAATTGCTTCATGTGAAGTATTATTAAAATTACTCTCATCAGAAAGATACTCACTACATAGCCCGTTCAAATTATTTTTCAATATGACTGAACACAGAACTATTTTCACGAAATAGCCGATTCAATATGCATACTAATTACAATGCAGAAGATTTTACATCAACATACCGTTTCTTAAATATCTTTTTCAACATCTTAACGACATCAACTTGATTAGTCTGATTTTTGACAGGGATATAATTTGTCCTTCCTAGGCACCTTAGGGATAAACACAATCCTTGTCGGTCTTCAGGCTCGAGATGTATATTCCAGAGATAAACAGATTCTTAAACCATTATCTCCAGCTTTATATAAAGTCCACTATTTTTTCCAATTGTTGATAAAGAAGAAACAAAAAGACAAGTTCCAATTTTGCAGGTTTAAAAGACTTGAATGTTCTAATTGTTTATTTAATCTTAAGTTTAACAGTGTTAGCAACTTCCAGTTTGTCACACGAATCCTATATAAAAACCATTTTCTCCAATATCTCTGTTTCCGTCTAGAAATAAAAAAATTAGACATCGTTCTTTAAAAAATAAATTAGACAATTAGGTTCACCAAGGTTACCATGGTTTCATCTATGATACTATTCAATAAACAGTTTGAATCTGATAGCATCCAGATTCTTTGTCGTACGAGACACTGCAATGTCATACAGCTCTCTTCACAATAGCTTTCAGTTTGCCTTGAAAAGATAGTTCAAGACAATTTGTATTTTATAATTATAAAAAAATCCTATCAGAGAATTTTTTCTAGAAAAATTTATGATAAGAAGTGTGTGGTCTCCATATCGTGTCTTTTGTAATCAAATGTTATAACTGAGAAAAAATAAGAAAAAAGAAATTTTGTACACATACACGCGCGCGCATACACACACACACACACACACACACACACACACACACACACACACACACACACACACACACACACACACACACACTACTACTACACTACTACTACT